GACTCCTGGGGTCCGTAAGCTGGTAACAGCCTCTTTCTGGGTCAGGCCCTGTTCTGTGGCTGGGTTCCTCAGTGACACAGAGCAGCACAGCCTTCCACCCTGGGGGACCGTGAAGTCCAAAGGAAGCGCCGTCCAGGGAGCTGTGTGTGAGGCCGTGACCTGCCCAGAGAGCTCGGCTTCTGGCTCTGCTGCTGTTCCCAGCAGGTGGCTCTGTCCTCAGGACCACCCAGGCCTGCAGCTCAGGGCCAGACACCAACACGTTTCCCTCTTGTGCTCCTCAGGGGTGCCCTCAGCGGTTACCCCAGACAGATCATGTTAATTGCTTCCTCAACCTCTGTCTTCCTCCCCACGCCAAGTGGGTGTAGGAAGCGGATAGCGGGAGACAGACTGACCCCTGGATGAGAGGACCGCACAGGAAACCATATTTCCAGGCAGCATCCGGGCCATCTAGAACGTCCCCGACTCGTCCAGCACTGGCAGACGAGCCAGTTAACAGATAGGCCTCACTTGCCCTAGGGAGTCAGTGCATGGCCACCTGGGGACACATACCCAGACCCGCTTAGTCAGCAGCAGGGCCTGCGGTCACGCACTGACCGCTCTGTAGGGGACTCTCAGCCCAGCTGTTCTGAGGGACCGTCTGAAGACAGTCTGAAGTCTTGCCCTTCCCCAAACAGCACCGAAGTCTGTCTGAGGCTGCCCAGGGACACGCAGGGTGCAGCAGGAGAAGCCCAGCTGCTTCTGCCTGAGAGGAAGTGAGGGTGCTCCATGGCCACAGAAACAGGCCAGAGAGGCGTGCAAAAGGGGCCTGTTCCTGGCACTGCCCAGCTGGCCGGGAGCAGGCTGGCTGGGAGCAGGCTGGCCGGGAGTAGGGCTAGAGGGTGGCCTTCAGGATAGGACTCAGGCCAGAGCTGGGCCCAGCCGATGCTGAAAATACCAAGAATAATAATAATAATGTCCCACCAGCTGCTGCCACTGCCCTTTGCCAGGAGACTGCCAGCATCCAGGCCAGGCGGCCTGCCTCTAACTGCCCTTGCCCTGTGGTTTCCATATGGTTCCAGAGTCCCCCAGCGGTCCCTGGGTCGGGAGACTGGTCCCCCTGTGGCACTGCGGGCACTGAGAGGGTCCTCAGGAGTGGCTCAGCAGGAGGCCCATGCGGGGACCTGCTCTTGGCAGGGGGCTGAGCTGCCATCACACTGGAGCTGACTGGCTCCCTCCCGCTGCCTTCCTCCTGGCTTGCCACTGCAGGGCGGCTCAAGGGCCCTCTCAGAGCTTGTGCAGCGCTGCTGGACATTCAGCCTCCAAAGTCAATAGCTAAATAAACCTCTTTTCTTTCTAAAGTCGGCCTGCCTCAGATACTTCATTAAGCAAGCAAGGACAAAGTGACAGATGGGGTCCCTCCCAAGTTGGGGCCTTGGGCAGCGACTTGGTTCCTCAGCGGGGGGAGCCCTGGGTGTGAAGGTACCTGACCTGCCAGGAATGGGTCCACACAGTTGAGGGAAGCCCTTGCTTGGCCCTTGTGGTAAGAGGGCAGCCAGACCCAAGCTCTTGGCCTCTCTGTTAGCCTGGGCAGGACGGGAGGGTCCTGGGATCCTAGAGTCCCACGGAGAACCCACAGAGCTGGGGCTTGGTGTGGCTCCTCTACCCTGCAGAATGCCCCATCTGCAGAGCGGTATGAGCCTCCCTCCTGAGCCCAGACCGCCCTGCCTCCCCAGGGTCTCTCCTCCTGGTTCTCCTTGCACTTCTATCTCGGACTCTGTGCCTGCTTCCGGGAGGACCGTGGCCTTCCCAGCTGTGTCTGTGTCCACCGCTGGTTTGTGGGCAGGCCAAGGGGCACTGGAGGAGAGTTCCCTTCACGGTTGGAGCATGGCACTAAGAGAAGGTCAAGCCCAGCTGGCCTCCTGGGGCACTCCTCCACGTCCCCGGTGAAAACATCTCTTCCTGGGCTTCAGTTTCTTGGCAGAAACCCCAGTGGTCCCTGGGCCCCAGGGAGGGGGCAGGTGCAAGGGATGCCTGGCTGTCCACTGACTGGTATGGACAGATGGAGGTTCATGGGCATCCCCTGAGCTGCTCCAGGGCCTCAGGCTGAGAGCACTCCTCTTCCTTTTCCTGGTGCTCCTAGGACAGGGGTCCTCACACAGGGCCCCACGACACTCAGGACCCTAGCCCACAGACACTGGAGAACCAGCCGTGTGTCCTCAATACCTTGCTAGGCTTTGGTCCTAGGATCAGCGCTACTGGGACGGGTTCTGGGGGAGTCTCAGAGCCCCTTCCCGACAGATGGGCTTCTCCAGTCTCTCTGTTACTGCTCTCCGGCCGCCTCACTCCCCATTCAGACACACACACACACACACCACCCCCCAGCAGTGAGGCCACTAGGGTCCCACACAGCTGAGGCGCCTTCTGGGATCCTTGCCTCTGGCAGGGACTATCAAAGGGCACTGGCAGGGAGAAGCTCCTTCCACTCCTGGCCCCTGTCCAGCCGGGTCCAGCGCCAGTGTGGGGCTGCTGGGAGATGAGGTTCTGCAGGGTATTAGCAGCAGAGCTGCATTTAATAAAAGCCAAAGAGCTTCCGAATACGCATGTTGGAGGAAAAAGAGGCAGTTGGAGCTCAGTAGCCACAGAGCAGAGCTGGGGCCCCAGGTCCTCAGGGTCGGAGACCTCTTGGCTTGGCTGGATCATGAATCCGTGGCACAGGCACTACTGGATCTGTTCTGGACCCTGGGGCTGCAAAGATGTGTGACCAGTGGTGGGAGATAAGCCCAGGGCTTCTCTCTGAAAACTCTCAGGAAACACCACCTCCCAGCAGCCTTGGTGGGACTCTTAGCCTCCATCCTCCCACACTTCCTTCCTCCTTCCTCCCCTCCTCCTCTCCCCCCTCCCCACCCCTCCTCTCTTCTCCCCTCCTCCCCCTTCCCCTCCTCCCCTCCCCCTCCTCCCCTTCTCCCCTCCTCCCTCCCCCTCCTCCCCTTCTCCCCTTCTCCCTCCCCTTCTCCCCTCCTCCCTCCCCCTCCTCCCCTCCTCCCTCCCCCTCCTCCTCCTCTCCCCTCTCCCCTCCTCCTCTCCTCCCCTTCCTCCCTCCTTCCTTCCCTCTCTTCCTTTGCTCTCTCTGTCTTCCTCCTCCCCTCCTCAATGTCTGTGGAGGGTGATGTCCTGGCCTAAGCTGACCTCAGTCCTGCTGGTTTGCATGTTTCTAAAGGTCACCTGACTGTGGGGTGGAACACAGATTTAGTGATCTCCCTGGACATGACCTCAGGGAGAAGAGTGTTTTTGTAAACAAAGTTTTTTAAAGTTTAGCTTAAAAGGCAGCCCTGCAGACAGGAATGGGAAGTGAAAGGAGGGCTCTGGGAAGCCCAGGCAGCCGCTTCCCCTGGCCAGACCAGGCCCCAGCCCCGGTGGGCAGCACCTCCCCTGCTCTCCTCAGGCCACCTCCCTCCACCCTCCTGAGAAACTCCTGCCACCCACCTGAATCTCCTCACGCTGTGCCCCTGACCCTGCCACTTGCTGTAGGCCCCCGGCAGCCCATCCTGCTGTCCATCAAGACCCTTGGGCATGGTCCCTGGCCAGGTAGCCCACCCAGCCTCCTGACACGCCCTAGCTGGACTCACTGCTCCAGGCTTCCCCCTACGACCCTGGCCTCTGACTGCAGACATCAGGTGCCCAGGAGCTGCCTGGACCCTTCCTTGGTCATGGACGGGGCTGCAGTTAGACCTCTGCCCAGACTCCAGACTTGAACATCAGTGGACTCCCGACTCCAGGGAGCTGCAGGAGCCCCCTCGCCCCCAGCATGAGCCCCTGGTCTCCTCCCCTGGGACCCAGCCTCCTGGAAGGCCTGCACAGTCTGCTCCTCCCTCCTGCCTCTGCCCCTTGAGCAGCTGGTCAGCGAGTCCAGGACTCCCTCCAGAGGCCCTCAGCAGCACCTCTCCCTTCCCAATGCAGCCTGAGCTGGGGGAGGAGCCCTGAAGGGCCTGAAGTCAACTTTTTTGTTTTTTAAGTTTCAGACTCAATTCAGAACATCTTCCCCCTTTGTCCAAAACCCCCTTGTGGCTCTCATCTCCTGCTGTTGGGGGACAGACGGCTGGACGCTGAGGAAAAAGCAGGAAGCAGGTGTATCCACGACAGCCAGGTTCAGATGGAAACGGCTTTCGCTATCACCCATCAAGCCTGAAACAGACAGCCTCAGGCTGACACCCAGCGCGAGGAGGGTGAGGGGCTCCCGTCTGCCCAGGACCACACAAAGCGTCTCCAGAACAGTGGAGCCAGGCCTGGTGCCCACCAAGGGCACCCTGCTAAAACCAGCGCCCAGGAAAGGGAGAGCCCCTTCCCCTTTCCTTCTGCCTGCAGGCTCCTTTGGAGGGCAGCGGCCTCTGGGAAGCCCCCCATTACCCCCCAGGCTGCAAATCCTCTGACAAAACTTTTTTGCTGAGAGTATCAGAACCATTATCATGAGGGTTCCCCATGAGCCTAGTTAAGATCTCCTGTGGAGGAGGGGACCATACACTGCAAAATGAGAGCCCAGATCCTCAACAGCAGCCTGTCCCACATCCACTGCCCCAGCCTCCTGCCCCGCCATCCTGGGAGGCCCCAAGGGCCCTGGGCTTTCCCCAGGACCAAGTCCCCAACACCGTCCCAGGGCTGGCCCCTCACCTGGTATGAAAGGCCAGCCCCTCCTGTCTCCTTGCCCTTGGGAGTCATCGGCTGACTCCTAAACCCAGTTCCTCCAGTGGTCTCTCCACCACCTCTGCCCACCCCTGCGCCCAAAGTCAGGCTGGCCTCCTCTGTCCACTGCTGACGCCAGGTGCCCACAACAGTCACTGGCACAGAGTAGGGGCACGGGAAAGACCCGGTGCAGGACAAAAGAGCACCCCAGGCTGAGGCTGAGGCCAGCAAGAGGTCCTGAGGTACCACTGCCTAGGGACACTGTGGCCATGCTGGCCACCATGGCAGAAGGGCCTCGAGAGCCCTCCTCAGGCATGCTGGCCATCAAGCAGCACACTGACCAGTGGAGGCTCCCACAGGGTCTTTATTAGGGTTTCACAAGGAAATGCAGCCGCCCCCTTTCCAGCCTTGGACAAAGCGGCTAACACAGGTCAGGGGTCTCCCCGGGACCTCGCCCACGTACTTCTCTCCTCCATCCACTCTAAGGGCCTGCAGGGGCTGGAATCCCCCTTACAGATGAGGTAGATGCCGTAAGTAAGGGTCGTAAGGGACGAGGACCCAGGGGCAACCCAGAGGGTGAGAGTGCTGCCCAGGAGAACAGCATGGTGCCCGCAGAGCCCCAGCTTCCTCTCCATCCCCCAGCCACCTGCCCAGGGCCTTTCAAGGGTGGGCTTCACCAAAGGTGCTGGGGACAGACGACCTGTCCTGAAAAAGGCCGAAGCTGTGTCTGCAGGGAACGGGGTAGACACACTGGAACTGCCAGCTGGGGCGTCAGGACACTGAGCCAGGCTTCCACAGTGACCTGGGTCTCTGGTGGCCCCTGGAGCCACAGCCCCCCAGCAGAGGAAGCAGAGATCCCCCTGTGCCCGGCGGAAGCTGGACACAATGAGGCCGCCTGGGTACAGATGCTGTGAAAAATGTTTTTAAAATGAAAGATAGTAGCACTTCCAGAAATGCTTTAGAGGCAAAGAGGAAGCCTGCAAAAGTGCTGAGCTTCTAAATGTCTCATTTCAGAAAGGAAATGGTTCTCTATTCCCAAAGCCCAGGTGTCCAGACCTCCAAGGAGCCCCCGAGGGAGGGAAGGCCTCCAGCAGCCAGAGGCTCAGAGGAGCCCTGAGAAGGAACGATACTGCTGGATTTCCGGAGGGACGAGGCCCTCGCTGCCCCTCACACCCCAGTCTCCCCAGGCACAGGGTCACCAGTGTCCAAATCTGGAAATCAGGACACGCCATCCACAGCAGATAGATAGAGATGAGGTGGTATGTGCCCACAATGGAATACTATTCAGCCTTAAAAAAATAGAAAAAGGTCAGGGGCCTTTGTGACCTTTGTGACCAACACGGATGAACCTGGAGGACTCTTCTCAGAGGAATTGCAGAGAGACAAGCATCTTGGTCTCCCTTACAAGCAGAACCTGAAAACCTGGACTCACAGGGCGGAGGCTAGAGTGGCATCTGCAGGGTGGAGACACTGGTCAAGGGCTTGAGTCTCAGTTCAGGAAGAGTCCTGGAGGACTGGCATGCAGCTTGGGGACGATGGCCAATGTGAGCACTGGGAGGTCCCTAGGAGAGCAGGTTTTAAACACTCTCCTCCCTGGAGCAAGTGTGCGCTTGATTTCCTCCTTCTCCAATGCATGTGCACGTATCAAAAACTTATGTTCTAGGCTGAGGCAGGAGAATCTCAAGTTCCAAGCCAGCCTCAGCAACAGCGAGGCGCTAAGCACTCAGGGAGACGCTGTCTCTGAATAAAATGCAAAATAGGGCTATGGCTCAGTGCCTTGTCCAGGGCCTTGAGTTGGATCCCCAGTAACCCCTGCAAAAAAGAAAATCACATCCTACGCATGGACGTAATGCTACTTGTAGATTAAAAGGAGGTCGGGACACAAGGACTAGGAAATGGTCCCCCCTGGTCTGCAGCTACGTTCCTAGGGAGATCTTGCAGGGGCTGCGGGCTCTGCTCATCCCGCCCTGATGCTCGACTAAGAACGGCACTGGTGGAAGTCAGACCACTGGAGATGGACCCCTGCCTTCCCCTCACCTCACGTCCTCCACCACCCTGAGGGTCTGTTTGCTTTGAGCCAAGGGCTGGAGGCCAGGGGGCTTGGTGCTCTGATCCTAGCTGGCCCTGTCCCCGGCACAGGGGACAGTGGTCCCAGGTGCACCTCTAGGAGAGAAGGTGGTATCTGACGGCAAGGTTTGCCAGGGCCTGGGCGGAGGGAAGAACCACCCAGTCACAGCCCTGCCCCCGACACAGGCTCCCTCCTCTGACATGCCCACTTAGACTGTGTCAGTCAGCCTGCCCCCGAGGTGACCAAACTTCAGAGAATCAACTGGAGGGAGGAAGATCTACTTTGGCCCACGGTTTCAAGGTCTCAGTCCCTGGTCAGTTGGCTCCATGGTCAGCTGGCTCCATGGCTCCTGGGCCATGTGAGGCAGAACCTTACGGTGTAGGACCAGGTGGCAGGGGCCACCCACCTCCTGGCAGCCAAGAGGCAGAGAGAGAACCAAGCCCAGGGACAGAACATGCCCTCCAGAGTCACCTGGAGACCCGCCTCTTCTGACTCATGGCTTGAGTTCTCTCCCACCTCCGATAGTGCCACCTTCTGGGGCCACGGCTTCAGCTTCGGGGGACATCGCAGATCCAAACCACGATGGATGGGGCTCCCCAGGAGACTGCAGCACCAGGGCCTGTCCCTGTGCACATGATTTCCCTGAGAGGGACACCAGAGGTGGGTGAGAGGAGGAGGGAGACTGGACAGGAGGCAGGAGAAAGGAGCCATAGAGGCACCCGTGGTGGCACCCGAGGCTCGGCAGGGACATCTCAGGGAGAGGCCAGGGGGGCGCCTCTGAGTTGTTCCCGAGGATGGGAGAGGGGCATTCACTGGCAGTGTCCCAGACTCGTGGCCCCAGGCAGAGGTCACAGCGCCCGCTGGAGAAGGTCCCTGTGTGCAGGGAGGGGTGCCAACTGCATCTGCTCCAGCGTCCCCTCAGCTAGGAGTGGTCACCCTGCTCTGACAAGCCAGAGCAGGCAGCCAACCCCAGTGGACGGGAGGTGGCGTGGTCCCACAGGGCATGTGCAGGCTCTGGCGTCACCATGGCAGGTCTCATGAGGCTCCTGCTGGGTCACCTGGGCAACTGCTGACTTCTCGGTGCTCTCCTCGTAGCCCAGAGAGACAAGTCCTGCTGGCTGGGCCTTGGACTCTCCCCTAACCCTCAGCTCACCCAGCGTCTCCTGCCCGCCCCTGCCCTGCAGGCCCCACCAGCGTGAGACCAGCTGCAAGAATTCCAGCTCCTGTCCACGCGGAAGTCTGGGCGGATGGTCCTGAGCTGGCCCTGGGAGGCAGGATGGGGCGGGGGCACCTGGGCACAGTGCCAGGCTCACCCCATCGGTGCCCAAGGTAGACATCCACTGTGAGCAGAAGAGGGGGTTCTGTCCAGTACCCCTGTGGCCATCTGTGTAGGACTTCTGTCCTGGCTTTTGTTGGTGCATGGTGGGGCCTAGGTGGGTGCAGGCTTGAGGATGTGTGCCCCCGAACGCCTTCTGGGTGTGACAGCAAAGGAGCTGGGAGAGGACGGCAGTAGAGGCCCCTTCCTGCTCGGATCTCCCTATGGCCTGCCCTGCTGGCCTCTACAGTCGGCAGAGGACCCCACCACTGCCCCTTACACACACAGCCCGAGAGGCCCTATCCCGCCCCTTGCTGCCTCGACTCCCTTTCCTGCCCCCACCTTCCCGGGGCCCCTGTTCCTGGCCACGTCTTCGCCATGCCCGCCCTGTGCCAAGCTGTGCCTGTCTTGATCTCACACGCCTGAGGGACAGCCCCAGTGGCACTGGGTCAAGACCCAGAGGGTCCACACCAGCTTCATGATGCAGGCTCAGCGTGGAATGGAAACGTGGCTCCCGTTCAGAAAGGCCGAGGGAGGCCCGTGTAGAGGAAGCTCTGGAGCTTCTCCGACCTGCTGTCCTGGACATGCTGCCCTCCATGACTCCACCAGATCCCCAGCCGCCTGGTCCCTCAGTGGGTCTTCCTGCGAGATGGCTGTGCCCTTCCTGTGGGCTGGTCCAGTCCCACCGTGCTGGACGTCCGATCCCCACGGGGACTGCAGCCCCTCGCTGGATCTGCAGGTACCTGGACCAGGAGGGCGAGAGCGCCTCCCGCCCATGGCCACCAAGACTGTCCTCAGCCTCCAGAGCCACAGCCCATAGCTACTCTCCGAGCGCCCGCCGCCTTCTCCTGCTTGGCCATCTCTGAGGACCACATTTTCCATTCACTTAATATTTTTTCTTTGGAGCAACCATGTTTCCCTTCAACAGAGTTTCTCTGAGAGCCTGAACGCACTGTGCAATAGAGACCGACGGTGGCCACGCTTCTCAGGTGGGCCCTGAAGTACACTGGCCTACAAAATGTTCAAAATGCCCTTCCACCCGCAGCTAGACGCTCCAGTGCACCAGCCCTGCTGTGAGCTGTCCCAGGGGAAACATGGTGGCACAGAAGAGGGTGTTGTCCACCACGGCCATCCCCAGGGCAGGACCGCCTCACGGAGGGTGAGGGGCCCTAAAGTGGAGGTCACTTCTGGAAGCGTCTCGGGGCTGCGTCTTTGTGTCTGTGGGTCTGATGGGACGGTGCGGCGGGTGCCCCCTTGCCCTGGCCAGCTGCAGGGACTGGCCTTGGGCAGCAAAGCCAGAAGCCAGAGTGGAGCGCAGGAGCCCAGGGCAGGCCGTGGTGAAGGCCGCGCAGGCCCTGGGGACTCCTGGGAGTCCTCTCCTGTGGTCTGCTGACTTAGCGTGGATCTGCTTTAGAGAAAAACGCTAAAGAAATGAGTCCCAAGCAGTGTGCAGATGGGCCCAGGACAACCTGCCCACACTGCCCGCCCTGGCCCTCCCTGGGCCTGCCAGGCACAGCAGGCTCCCAGCCACACAGCGGCCCAGCCTGGGCTCCCACTGGACAGAGCCATGTCCTCCAGCTGGGCACAGGGGACGCCGAAGCATGGGGACTAGAAACCAGCAGCCAAAGGCCTTGGAGGTCCAGGCCTGATGTTCACCCTCGAGGGTCATCACCCCTGAGAGAGTGTCTTCAGCTTCACCTTCTGGTCACCTGCCACTTCACCAAGGCAGTGGACCACTTGCTTTTCAGGACAGAGGCTGGGACATCACCCACGGCAACTCTAAGCAGGTCAAGAGTCCACAAAGCGGAGAAAGCGAGGACATATCCGCAATGGCCGTTGGCCATGTGCAGCCTAAGTGCACCCCATGGCCCTTCCTGCATCTGTGTGATGGGGGACCATCCCTGCAGGCCACCGAGCCTGCGGGAGTGCCTCCAGTCTCCTCACCGCTCTCGAGGGCTGCGTTCCCAAGTTCCGTGTGTGTTTTAAATAGGCTGGACTTTCAGCACCCAGCCCACAGGCCTGGGGACAATGCCCAGCTCATCAGAGGCCCAATGGCCACCGCTCCTGCATGTTCTCAGCATGGTGGGCACATGTGGGGTGTGTGTGTGTGTATGTGTGGTGTGTGTAATATGTGTGTGTGTGGTGTGGGTGTTGTGTGTGTGTGATGTGTGTGGTATATGTGATGTGTGTATGGTGTGGGTGTTGTGTGTTGTGTGTGTGTTGTGTGGTGTATGATGTGTGTGTTGTATGTTGTGTGTTGTGTGTGTTGTATGTTGTGTGTGTGTTGTGTTTGGTGTGTACGTGGTGTGTGTATGTGGTGTGTGTGTGGTGTGTGTTCCTGGCCTCCCTGCCTCCACTTCATGGGCGTCACGCAGTGGAGGACTGGGGACACCCTCTTCTCTGAGCTGCCTACCCTTGCTGCCCCCTTTCCCGCTGGGGCTGCAGAGGCCTGGCCGGCCACCGTGGGGCCAAAGGTGGACTTGCTGGCCCCTGGCTATTCTCCTCACAGCAAGTCTAACCTCCAGAGAAAAGTAACTGACTCAAAATCTGAAGAGAAACTGGGGGATGGACACAGATCCAGGTCTGGCTGAGTGCCCCACGGTGGACACCAGGTCAACTTCCTGAACTGACCCGGCCTGCTGGACCCTCCCTACACCAGCATGACCTGCCCAGGGAGGGCCGAGAAGGAAGGAGAAGAAAGGCCCTCGTGTCCTTGTGTTGCTATAGCAAAGCCACAGGAGCCATCTTCAGATCCGCTGGGACTTTAAAAACGCACCCCCACGGCAGCTGGCTGTCCCCATCTGAACTCGGCCATGCACATCTGACAGCCCTGCCCGTGTCCTGAAGGGGCACAGCCCTCCCATGAGCCCCCACAGCTGGGGTGACAACCATGTCCCAGCCTGGATGTCACCCGAGTTAGACACTGGACAGCAGCCAGCGCGGGGTAAGGGGCGGGCCTGCAGGTCCCATGCAGATGCCATGCCCGTGCCGGGGCCTGGAGCACCTGTGTCGGTGCCCATGGGTGCCAGAAGCAGTCTCCTCAAGGGTGCCAGGGCCGTCGCGGTGGCTTCTGTCGGGCGTGTTGGGGTGGGTCTTTCAAATCACGTGGGGACTGCCCTGGGCTGGCGTGGAGAGTGAGGCTGCGGAACCCCCTTGAACACACACCTCAGGACTCCAGCCAACCCGCTGAGGAGAGAGGGCGCCCACCCGACTTGAATAGGAAAATCTGCTGTGAAATCAAAAATGAGGAGACTGAGGAGCAGCCCGGAACCCTTCAAGAAGGCCCAGACTTACTCAGTCCCCAGACTTGACAGGTGTTTGATCTTGGGCTGGAAGTTCCGGAAGGAAAACCACAGATCACCATCGAATTCGGCAGACAGGTGGCACCGGCTGTCCAGAGGCTGAGGCTCTGCTCTGTGGGGTTCCGCTGTCACCAGTGCCCGCCGTGGTGTCTACCCACTTCCTTGGCTCAGAGAGTCTCGCCTCTAGTGTGCCCAGGGCAGTGGGACTTCACCCACCTGCTCTTGGAGTGGCTTCAGGGAGAGGCCTGGAGGTGGGCAGTACCCTTGTCCTGCTGAAGGGGAGCATGAAGCTGAGGAGCTGCGCAAGATGGGGGTCAGCCTGGCCAGCAGCAGGTGTCGTGAAGGTGTTTTCAATTACAAAGATCTAAGCCTTCCAAGTTGGGAATGGTTGTGCTGCCCGGCTCTGTGAAGGAAGGACTTGGGAAAACCAAGGTTGGATAGGAGCTGGCGGGGAGTCTGCCTTCCTGGGGTTTGGTGGAGGCCTGACGACACCCAGATGCCGAGAACAGAGAGAGGCAATTTACAACACTGGGCACAGCCTCTGGACGACGTGGGAGACTCTGAACACACCCGGAAACGCTCAGAGAGCTTGAATCTAGAGACTATTAACAAACCGAGGCCTGTGGAGGGAGCCCTGAGCCAGCAGCTCTAAAACGGCTCTTAAGAACCATGTTCAGGGGTGGGCACCGTGTCAGCGACTCAGGAGGCTGAGACAGGAGGATCTCAAGTTCAAAGCCAGCCTCAGCAACTCAGTGAGGACCTAAGCACCTTAGAGAGACAGGACAACAACAAAACAAAACAACAACATTCAAAGAAGAAAATGAATAATATTAAGCCGTTCTTGATTGGGCCGATAGCTTCTTTTAGGTAATTTTTTTTTTCTTTTAGCTTACCACATTTTTATAAATTTGGACCAAACTATGAGTCTCCAAAAGATGAGCAGAATAGGGGTGATGTGGGTGAACTCGTTCCAGTGTGGAAATCTTCCATGTGTAATAAAAAGTTGAAGCCAGGTGTAGTGGGGCACGCCTGTAATCCCAGTGGCTCAGGAGGCTGAGGCTGGAGGATTACAAGTTCAAAGCCAGCCTCAGCAACTTAGTGAGGCCCTGACTGAAAAAAAAATAAACAAAGACAAGTTGAAAGAATGAGAAGGACACATTGCATGGGTCCCCTGGGAATGTTGGAAGTTGTAGAGAGGGACAGAGTGGCTAACTCCACCCACCCACAAATTCTATGGGTTCTGGAGAAAAATATGCAGGGGCCCAAGCCACAGGGGCCTTTGGACATCCCATCCTGTGAGGTCAGCCCAGCCCAAGGGACCCGTGCACAGGCAGGATGCCCTGCTGTGGACTGGAGGCCAGGGTCACTCTAGGTTGAGAGGAAGCTCTTCATCTAAAACGGCCCCTGCATGGGGGAGGTTCTGGAACCCGGAGGCTCAGATGCGGAAATGAGAGCTGGCCCAGAGGAAAGCCCCAGCTCCGGGGTGTCTGCAGGCCCCTGGCCTCCGGCCTCTGGAGGAACTGGTTCCACTGCCACCAGAGCCTAGATCCCCCCACATGCAAACGACTTCGGGAGAAATCGCACTTCTCCTTTCTCTAATTAAAGGCCACATGTAAAAAGTAGGCGTCTTCGGAGTCCAGCTCAGGGGCCGTGCACGCATCCCCTGGGCTGGCACATGAGGTCCCCGTCCCTAGAAGGCCACTGCTGCCCCTCTGGCAGACACTCTGGTGCCTGGCCTCCTTGCTGAACGGTGCCCGTGAGGTCCCCCTGCTGCTAGGGACAAAGCCCTCTCTGGAGTTGGTAGTGAGGGACTCACTGTGCCAGGCATATCTGGGGCTGCCTGTCCATGGCCCTGTCCTGTAGGCAGGCCATCACCACCCACCTTCCTCTCTCTCAGCACAGCTCTGGAAATGGACGGAGGAAAACCCACAGTGTGAGTGCAGCGTGCCCCTGGGCACAGGGCTCCTGGTTCTCACTGTGTGGGTGCGGCCTGCCCCTGGGTGCAGGGCCCTTGGTTCTCACTGTGGGGATGTGGCGTGCCCCTGGGCATGGGGCTCCTGGCCTCCCTGCCTCCCACTCCTGGGTCTCTGCCCAGGAGCCTCCACCCCTCCAGGTGACCCTCACTGCTGGAGGGCAGGGCATGCCCCAAAAAGGGAGGCCATGGGGGGGGGGTTGCTGGGGATGAGGGCTCTCAGTCGGGGTGCACTTCAGTTCAACCCAGGCCTCTGCCCACAGGGCCCCGCTCCAGGCCAGGGCTCCCCACAGCCCAGGTCGGTGCCCAGTGCTCTGTTGTGTACCCACAACTGCACTTGCCATCCACTGCCCTGAGTCAAGGGTGAAAACAGTGGGGGGCAGCCTGGCCTCGGGGCTCAGTAGCCGGGCCTGGACCATAATTGGCCACTCCTGCAGTGAGTCCTCAGAGGGGGGTGATTTGTGGTTTAGGTTTGGGAGAAATGCATGAAAGAGTGGGTGTCATCCCTCCCCAGCAAGCACCCCTGAAGCTGGCCAGCCCGGACCTCCTAGTCCCACTTGGAGGGGAGGAGGGTGGCCGGTGGCTCCCCGGCCCCTGCATGCCATCCCATAGCCCGGTGCCAGGGGCCTTTGCAGGCCACAGGGGCAGGTCCTTCCCACCCCACTGTCCCCAGCCCAGGGAGAGGCAGGACTCACTGACTGTGGCCATGGACAGCTTCTGGCCGCTGTGGAAACCTCCGGTGTTGAGAGCCACAGCCAAAGGGGCCCCAGCAAACTTCCAGCTGCCAGCAAACTTCCAGCTGCTGGCTGATGATTGGCTCACAGCGGCCCCAGCAACATCTAGCTGATTGGCTCCTCGGCCCCAGCAACATCTAGCTGATTGGCTCCTCTGCGGTGATGCTCATTGGGCTGTTTCCCTGCCCTCTCAGACCACGGAGCTGCTCATTGGGGGACTTTTTTGGCTCCGCCCACGTGACCCAGCCAATCGGCCTCAAGAGCAGGAGGATTGTGGGAGGTGGAGAGAAGCTTGTGTGGGAGAGAGAGGCTTGTGGAAAGCCGGTGGTGGCAGTTGAGGCTCTGAGGGTTTTTCCTGAGAGGCTGTTTTGTTTGGCGTGTGTGGTTCTAAAAATAAAGTTAGTTTCTTTTGACAAGTGGCTCCTGATTGTGCCCAGCCAGACTGCGGCACTCCGGGAGGGAGCCCAGTCCTCCCACAATGAGCCCACTGTCCCCTGAGAGGGCCCCTCCCCGGGAGCCCCCTTAAGCACCTTCCTGAAGCTCCTCTCACTGGCCCAGGCTGAGGAGGCCAGGGTCTTGTCCACCAGAGGCAGGATCGCCCACCCAGACCCTGCCCACCTTGGCCCCTTCCCCCTCCTCGGGAAGCCAAAGTCAGCCCAGGAATGGGGCCAGGCCCTGGGAGGGGAGGGGCAGTATGCTGCTGTCCCCTGCGAGGCTGGAAAGCAGAGGCCCTGAGCAGGCCCTCCCCGCAGGAGGCCAGGCCCTGGGGACTGCTTGACCAAGGCTGAGCTGCGGAAGTGCCCAGTCCTCCTTCCACCCTGCCTACAGGGAAGCGGCTGAAGGGAGGTGCTGGCCAGGAGCCTGGGAGCAGCCCTCACTGGCAGGACTCCCCCCAGGGCCCTTCTCCCTGCTCCTGCTACCAGGAGCCTGGAGCCCAGTGGATCCCAAGGGCAGCCACAGCCAGGGTGGGAACCCTTAGCTCAACCCAAAGCAGGTATCATCAGCGAAAGGGAGGGCACAGCCCCCTCTCCCACCTGCAGCCAGCCCTGTCCCCAGATGCCACCTTCACAGATAGCCGCAGGGCCAGCAGGGCGCCTGCCTTGGAGCAAATGGGCCCTAAGCTCTGTGGCTCTGGGACACAGGGGCCCTGTGGGTGGACAGTCCAGCTGGGCATGGGACCAGAGCTGGGAGACCACAAGCCCCAGCTGGTGACCTGGACAAGCCGTGTCACCTCGGGACCTCACTGTGCCCCCTGTAGAGTGATGCCTATCTCCTCGCCTCACTGGGTGGTGGGGGATCGACTCTGAGCCTCTACATTAAAGGGTCTGGTGCCCCTGAGGCCCGCCGGTGGGTCCTGCTGAGGACGTCTGTGAAGTGGGTCAGTGCCCTGGCCACCCAGTGTGGAGCTGGTGGGGAGAAGGAGACAGCCAATGGGCAGAGGTGTGGCAGCCCTCCCCGACAAGGGCCCCTGACATTCCTGCGGGGCTTAGCCGGGTGGCCGGCTAGTTCCGGGAATGTCCAAGAAAAACAAGCTGGTTATTCCGAGGGAAGCTGCGGCCCAGCCCAGCGGCCATGGCTGCTTGAGATCAGACACGGCGTTTCTGAGATGTCTTCATCTTCCTGCCACTGAGGCTGGTGGGGACGGTACCTCGCCTCACCTTCCTGCTCTGAGGAGGGGAGGCCAACAGGGGCGGCCTGGAGCTGCGGTGCTGGGAGCTCGTGCCCCTGGGCTCCTGGTCCCTGCAGGGCTGGAGCAGTGGCTGTGGGGCAGTGCTGAGGCTACCCCATCCTTGGCCTTGGGCTTGACAACCCTGGATGGGGTTGCAGGTCCAAGGTGACCCCTCTTGTCCACTCTCCTCTGTGTGTGTGTCCCGCTGGGCAAGTGCCAAAGGGATGCTCCAGTGCCCACAGCTGGCCAGCTCCCTGCTGGGTGTCCTGGCTGGGAGTGGGGCTCCCCTCTGGTTCTGGAAGTTGCTTTGGCCAGCTCAGCCTGTGTGTGGAGTCCAGCCCAAGTGGGCGCAGCTCCCCATCAAGCCACCTGGTCCCGCTGGGTCCTCCGCTGGCTGGGGGAAGTGGCGCGACCTCTCAGGGCGGTCCCATGGATTCTGGGAACTCAGTGGGCTCCAGGCTCTGATCCCCCTGTTTCAAGTGATGTGCACCCAAGAAGGGGACTTCCTCCAGCTGTGGAAAAAGGCCACACACACACACGGGCCTCTTAGAAAACTGGAACCAGGAACCAGAGGGCCTGCAGCTCCCGCCTTTGCGGGGTCCCCTCCCCGTAGACCCTCCCCACCTGGAGCCAGACAGCGTGCAGCGGACTTGGAGCTGGAAGGCAGAGCTCAGGAGGGCCCTGCTGCTGTGTTTTAAGGACAAGGTCGGCAGGCTCCTGCTGCAGAGCCACCATGCTCTTTTCCACCTGGCCTGTCCCCAGGACCGGCTGTGGGGCTGTATCCATGGAGATCCTGCCCCCCCAGGGCTCTGGCTGACTTGGGCCACTGCGGGTGCCAGCAGGACTGGGAGGGCAGGGGCAGCAGCCAGGCCCCTTGCGCTGGCCCTCCCCGTGGAGGTAGCGGGGGTCTGGCCTTCTCGGTGGAGGTGGTGAGGTCTGGCCCTCCTGGTGGAGGTGGTGGGGGCCCAGCCCTCCGGGTGGAGGTGGCCCTCTTGGCGGAGGTGGTGAGGTCCGGCCCTCCTGGTGGAGGTGGCGGGGTTCAGGTGGTGGGGGTCTGGCCCTCGGGGAGCAGCACCCCTGCTCTGGCTGCCATTCTTGTTAGTTCCTGTTGGTCTCGCCGTGCTGCGGGTCACCCTGTCCTCCTAAGCCCTCCAGGAACTGGAGGGTGACTTTCTTGGCGGGTGGGGAGGGAGGATATCACTGGCGTTGAACTCGGGGTGCTCCGCTACTGAACTACACCCCAGTCCTTTGTATTTTTCATTTTGAGACAGGGCCTCACTAAGTTGCCCAGGCTGGCCTTGAACTTGCGATCCTCCTGCCTCAGCCTCCCAGGGATGAGATCTCAGGCCCAAGTCACTGCCTGGTGAGGGGTGACTGGTGCTGTTCCTCCGGCTCGCGCTGCAATAAGACCCCGGGAGGCGCCTTTGTCTCCCTGCCCTTCCCGCCCTGTGGAGGTGAGGGTTGGAAGCTCTGGGCTGGAGAGGAGCACTAGGAACTGAGCAGACTCCAGAACTCATCTGGAAGAGAAAGCCGTGGCCCTGCCCTGGAACAGCCTCTTCTCTAAGGACCTGACCCCTGAGGCAACGGCCTGCCTGTGTGAGTGTTCCAGACCCGGGCCTCTCTACTTCCCAGGGGAGAGGCTGCCAGACTCCTGTGTTCAGTCTGACCTTTGCGGGCTGGTTCCAGGACTCCCGAGCTCCCTGCCCTATCCCGTTGGCTCCTGCACCTCTCACTTGGCTGCATATGACTCTGGCCCAGGAGCCTGGCTCTGGTCTCTGGCCAGTCTGTTCCTGGGACCTCTGTCAGTTTGTCTTGGTGCCAGCCTGCCCGCCCACGCCAGTCCTGATCAAAGTATCCCAAGGCTTCCGGTCTGTCAAGGCCTCTGTCAGTCCCCGGCTCAGGACCCTCCTGCAGGAACTTCCCCCCTGGCAGCCCGGCCACCCTCCACTGCCCTGGCCTCACTCTCTCCACCTGCCACTCAGTGCCTGTCAGAACCTTACCCCCGGGGAGGAGACCCCTCCTGTTGAGCCCCCGCCACCCTGAGGAGCAGGCTTTTGGGGTGGAGGAGCCACCACAGCAGTCTGTGTTCCCCGGGGGCCCTCTGTGAGCACCCCCTTGTGAGCACCCCTCTGTGAGCTCCTCTCTGTGAGCACCCTTCTGTGAGCACCCCACTGTGAGCATCACCCTGTGAGAACCCCTCTGTGAGCACCCCACTGTGAGCTCCCCCCTGTGAGCACCCCTCTGTGAGCTCCCCTCTGTGAGTACCCCTCTGTGAGCACTCCTCTGTAAGCTCCCCACTGTGAGCACCCCTCTGTGAGCACCCCACTGTGAGCACCCCTCTGTGAGCAGCCCACTGCAATTTTGCCAAGTCTGTCCCCGAGGAGCTGCTGGCTCCTGCTGGTGTCAGACTGGGCCGCACCCTCACCAGGACCTTGTCACCTGGACTTGCTCCCTGGTCTCATCAAACCACTGTGCGGTCACCTCCCTCTTTACAGGCAAATCTGGGCCCCTCTTGTCTCAAGTGGCAGCTGGGATTGGAGGTCAGGTCAAAGTCTGCGGGATTCCTGGTGTCACCAGGTGATGCCTATGTGGCTCAGCTGCCATCTCAGGCGGCGAGCCCTGGCACTACCTGCATTTGCACACATGGGAAGCGCCAGTGCTCTGCTATTCTGAGGTGATTTCAACCATCGGATGGCTTCAGCCATCTGTGGTCACACACACACGCACACGCACATGCTGAGCTCTGAGTATTCACAATGCCTCCATCTGAGCTGCAACAGTCCCACATAACAAAGGCCCATCCCTGGACACTGCAGTGATAGATGTCATGCAATCAGGTTCTGGTGACCCATGAGACACACCTGAAGAGACCTGCACGTTTCTTTCTATCCCTGGGAAAACCCTAGAATGGTTGGTTGGTTGGTTACCCTGAGTACTTAGAAGAAAGTAGAAGGGTCATCGGAAACCAGAGTGCATTCACTCAGGGCTGGAGACAGCTGGGGGTGGAGGGCTCGCCGTGTGCACCCGTGCGGGGTCCCTGGTTCTGTCCCCAGCACTGACAAGAGTTCCCTAAGAATTCAGCTGCCCAAGGCCTTTCATTTTCCTTTCTTGGAGTCTGGGACTAGCTTTACTGAGGACATCGGTCCACGCCTGGGGACATCTCAAGTCTCCTGGAGGGCGGAGGCTTCATGGAGCCGGTATGCACCCAAGGGCCCGACGCGTTAGCAGTCTTGGCCAATGCGCTGGGTGGGAGGAGGCGCGGGGCTGAGGGAGCCAAGGCATCCCTCGTGCCCCCTCCTCCACACACATGGCCTCGGCCCCTCTGAGCCAACAATGGCCTTTGGAGACAAAGAGGCACTAAACAAAACCAGGAGCTTCCAGTGACCAGGGGTGGGCTGCTAGAGCCTGGCCCCAGAGCTGGGACCCAGG